CTCTTGCTGCTTTTAAGAAAGCAGTAAAGACGGATCTCTTTCGGCAGGGCTTCCCGGAATAATGGTCGGCCCATAAAGGGGCCCCCATTTGTCTGACTCCTACGAAAAATTTTGCTTTTAATTTATTAATTTAATTAATATAGTATTTTAATTATTCCTTGGTTTAATTCTATTTTAAGGGGATGGGGTGGGGGGGGAAGGGATTATGGGGAGAGGGAATGTTTTAATGTTGTTCAGTTTTAAATGTTGCTGTCCCCTGCCCCGATTGCCTTGCAGAGGGGCGGGCTACAAATAAAAAATTATTATTATTATTATTATTATTATTATTATTATTATTATTATTATTCTGCACAAAATGGTGTTTTATGTACCAAAAAACCCCATGTGCATAACAAGTCTGGACATTAAAAACACATTTTTCAACCACTGATTATATTTCAGTTGTTCAGTCCACTAGTTGTAACAACTTCATATGATCTGTCTCCCACCATATTTTTTTTCCTTTCATTTACCTATAAACTTACTTGATGGGACTTCATGCCATTTGCAGACTGGCCTCAGGCTCTGACTTCTTTGTAATACCATGTGACTTATTCTAATTATTGAGATTTCAACCACTTCTAGGTGTGTCACCTCATTCCCCCCGAGGGCTGAAACAATCTCTTGTAGGCAGCAATCTTCTACAATTGTCCATCTTTATCCATGGATTCAGCCATCCACAGCTTGAAAATATTTTTTTAAAAATATAAATTCCAAAAAGCAAACCTTGATTTTGCCATTTTATATAAGGGACACAATTTTACTATGCCACTGCATTTAATGGGCCTTCAGTATTCAGGGATTTTGGTATCCATGTGAGATCCTAGAATCAAATCCCAGAGGATACCAAAGGCCCACTGTAGTTCTATCTCCACTCAGTCTTTTGGGTTCAACTGTTATCCATTACTTGTGACAAGTATGGCAATGACCTAACGAAGCCAGGTATGGATCCCCTCCAGTCCTACTTGCCTTCAACATTTTTTCTCTGTGCTGGTTGCTGATCCAGGCTTTCCATTGCTTGGTAAGTGCCCAATAGATGGTATCTTAAACTGAAATTCTCACTGAGTGCAGAATGATTTGAATTCTGTCTAAGTGTATTTTGGCCCATTGCCTAAAATCAGAATACCAGCTATCACATGCTTCACAAAATTGTCCTTCAGCTTCCTGATTGCTGTGCTTTTCTAACAGTCTTCAAAGTAATCTACCTCCAGAAAATGTTAGTAATAGCCTTTTTGCAATCATATTGACCATGTCCTTCACATTGAACAAATCAGTTCTTACCTCTTCCCAGGACTGGGAGGAAATGTCATGAGGATTCAGCATCTTTTTGTCACTGTATTCTCTGCATACTTCCCATTGCTCTATAAATGGTCTTAAGTGAGTAACCATGCCTGGCTGGAAGATGCACCCCATGCTCATCTTAGACATAATTCTTTGCTTAGATATGAGGAATGGAGCCAGTTCATACTTTCTCACTCTAGAGCTGCTGAAATCACTATCCTGTGTCCCATCAATAAAATTCCACTCTGTGTGCATAGTCCATCTATGACAGGAGTCGTCAACCTACAGCACACACTGCCATTCCCCCCCCCCCACCGGCCTGCTGGAAGGGAGCTCTTCAGCAGACCGGCCCCCAGCTAAAAAAGGTTGCCTACCCCGATCTATGATGTCATGGACTTGTATTTGAAACTGTTGTTGAATTTTTTGTTTGTATATTAGAGTATAAGGTAAGGAGCTGTTGGGGAGGGAGAACAAGTCGTCAGAGTGAATGCTGATTGGTGTAAAGTTTGACAAGATTTACACAATCTTGGTGAATTACAATTGATGAATGACAGTTGGAAGTTCTGTTAGACAAGGGTCTTTGGAGTTAGACTGGGGCTTGAGTTAGAGAAGAGAGTTTGGTTTGAGGGTTCAGTATGGTTGGTCTGAGCTTGAGAGGTGTGTGAGTGTGTGTGTGGTATTTAAAATGTAATAAATAATCTGATTTATTTATATACTTTTTATACACAATAATATCTATGTTATATAGACTTTTGGTCTCCAGAAATGCTATCTATCTGATAGCTTGAATTCAGAAACAAGGCATCTGTGATATCAGCTCTCAATACAGAGGATATCAACTGGTGATAGACATAGAATAAATCCTCATAGGTGCCTTGAGGAATATTTAGATAGCCCCCACAATTGGTGTTACACAGGCAGGATAGGAGGAAGAACTAACATTGTGGAAGATAGTCAGGGAAAACCCTCTAGATAACTGAATGCTGTGGAAGTTTTCATATTTGCCTTCAGGGTATTTAGACATTAAGCACTGGCATACCATTCAGCAATTGATTCATTTGGTCTACTCTGATGGGCCTAGTTTATGAGTTTAGGCTAAGATATCCCACCACCATCATTCACTGTTGAGAAGCTAACAGAGTGATGGGTAAATCTTACTACAACATTGATGATGGTAGCAGGGATCACCTACTACTCCTGAAGACCATAGGATGGAGAAGAGCTGCAGAGACAGGCTACATAGTACACAGAACTCTGCCCTCCATCATCTCCCCATTACCTCTTAGTGTTCAGCCTGCTCACTGCCCATTCAAACAATGTAATGCAATGCAACAGTAGTGGCACTACCATATGTATTGTGAACAGAGAAACCTGTGAACATGAAGACTGGGTGGCCTGAGCTGACTCCCTTGATAAGGGCCTGTGACATTTTGGGAGAATAATAATAATAATAATAATAATAATAATAATAATAATACTTTTTATTTATATATCGCCCTGTGGCAGGCCAATCCGGGCGGTGAACAAGAATAAAAGGTTACAACATAAAAACAAGATAATTCTCTCCTCCCCCCTTAAAAAAATTATTAAATCATATTCAATTTGAAACAATTACAATTAAAATTAACACAACTATTAAATAAAATTAAAATATAATACAGACCATCATCCCCTGCTAGTTCAGACTCTAAGGGAATTATACAGGTGCATAAAAAGAAGATCTTAATGATCCCGAGGCCGGGCGATTTAGTCCGGAAAGGCCTGCCGAAAGAGATCCATCTTAACAGCTTTTTTGAAGCTGTGTAAAGGTGTTAATTGACGGATCTCATCCGGCAGGCCGTTCCAGAGCCTGGGAGCGACAATAGAAAAGGCCCTCTGGGAGGTCGCCATCAGCCTAGATCTTTGGAGCTGCAGCAGATTCCTCCCAGATGACCAGAGGGTGCGGGGAGGATTGTATGGGAGGATGCGGTCTCTGATATAACTTGGACCCAAGCCATTTAGGGCTTTAAAGGT